GCGCTTTAACCGCCCTCCCTGCTGTCCCCCGCAGGCGCGTCGGGACACCCCGAGGCATCCTCCCCCGCCCGCGGGCCCGCCAGTCCCCGCTCGCGTCCGCGTTCGCATCTCCCCAGCGCGGCTGCGCTGCTCCCCCTTCTGGTCTGTGGGACTCCCGGCGTCACCCCTCAAACATGACTCGCGATTTCAAACCTGGAGACCTCATCTTCGCCAAGATGAAAGGTTATCCTCATTGGCCAGCTCGAGTAAGTGATCCGGAGCCCGGGGTAGCGGTGCGGCAGCCGCGCCGGAGGCCTGCTTCCATCGCCGCCGCTCCCGGTTCCCTCCCTTCTGCCGTCCTCTCCCTCGCTTCCTTTACCGTTACTTGAAACCCGTCATTTTAGGTTGTTTTTTTTTTTTTTTTTTTTTTTCGTTTTTTCGTTTTAGTACACCCCCGTGCAATTGTAAAATCGTAGGTTTTCATGCTTACCCGCCGTTTCCCTGTTGCTTGCTTTGAGTCTCTGACAGGTGTTCTTGGGAAATACTGAAGAATCACATTCAGTTAATGTTCCGTTGTGGGCGAAATCAGGAAGTATCATTTTTATGTTTAGAAATGAGTGAAACCTTCTTAAATTTTAGAATTTTGAATAAAATACAAAGCGACATTGAAATACACAAGTTAGGAACCTTGGCATCAGATGTGATTAAACTAGACTTACACACACTTGATACAGGATTTGCATTTAGTGAGTCCTTGGACCTTTTTATTCACATTTCTTGCCTTATGACCTTGAAGAAGTTTTCCGTTTTTTTGTTCTCCATAGGCAAAGAAGTGTTAGAGCAGACCTTGGGTTAACTTAACTGGAGAAGTCTTAAGGACTCGAGGTGATAAGAAACACCTGAGCTCCATTTTCAGGAAAAAAAAAAAAAAAAAAGTTTTTTTTTGTAAGTTTATAATGGTGTCTAGGTTCAAAACATGATAGATAAGACTTAAAGAATGTTGATTAGATAAACTCAGTCATTTGAAAATACAAGACTGTGTTGTTCTGAAATTAACTTTTTTCATACAATTTTTTAATTTTGATTTTCGAGACAGAATTTCTCTGTGGAGCTCTGGCTGTCCTGGAACTCACTCTGAAAACCAGCCTGGCCTCGAACTCAGAGACCTGCCTGCCTCTGCCTCTGGAGTGCTGAAACTAAAGGTGTGTGCAACCTCTGCTTGGCTATTTATTTTTTCATACACTTAACTAATCTTTGAAAGTTATTACTTAAAAATAATAAATTCTATAGTTATGTCAGCAGGGAAGAGAAATGGAGGAAATCCCTTTGTTGAATAAGAGTCCATAGCTCAGAATACTCCAAAGTGATCAGTGCCTTGATTTTTCACACCCCCACCCTGCCCCTGTAGCTTTGTCTGAACTCTGATTCAAACTGTCCCCTTCCTCAGCTTTCCCCCAGTTCTCAGGTATACTTTTTTGGTAGAGCCTTCCTTAAACAGTCCTTAACCATAAGCCTTGTCTGTATATCCCATGTTCTGATATGTTTTCTATGTGAAAACCTTTAACTACTGCTTTCACTTGTGTATGTTACATACATCTTTAGGGAGGTTACCTAAAGCTGAATGTCTTTATTCTCTAGCTCTCAGTTACACAATCATGCATTTCTTCTTATTTATTTATTTATTTATTTATTATGAATTACAGTTGCAGTCATGCATTTCTAAAACACTGTTTTAGCTTTATGTAAGGCCTGCTGGACTTGGGAAGGTGCAAGTCCCCCAGAGACACTTTTATGTTATCAGTGCATCCTTACCTACTTTGAGATGTTAAAAATCAGTGTTATCTGATAGCCACATTCAGAGTTCCTTGCCACAATGTAGTTAGAAGCTAGGTATAAATGCTTTAGAAATTTTCTATTTTTTGAGAGCTGAAGAAATGGCACAGTGGTTAAGAGCACTTGTTGCTCTTCCAGCGGGCCTAATTTCAGTTCCCAGCACCTATTTCAGGCAGCTTACAATGACAATGATCTGTAACTCCAGCTCAGTGGACTCATACCCATTTGCATATACCCGGATGCAGGCACATAAACCTACACTTAGTTAAAAATAATAAAGTAAGGTCATATTATATCCATCTAAGTCTCATCCTCCCTACACCTTGCAGTATGCTATAGGTGACTAAGAGTTAGTGCTCTTAAAGGTAAAAATAGCCTTTGGAGAATCAGTATTTTCCTTTTGATCGAAACAAATCTCTTTTTCTTCAGAATTAACAATTTTAAAGAATGTTATGTTTATGGTTGTTTTGCCTGTGGGAAAAAATTGTATATATTTCATGACATGTGCCTGTGGGAAAAAATTGCTAGATCCCTGAAACTGAAGTTACAGTTAGGAGCTGCTATGTCGGTACCCGGAGTTGAACCTGGTTTCTCTGGAAGATCAACAAGAAGCCATTTCTCCAGCTACAAGTTCTAATTATAATGAGTTTATTTGTATTGGATATTTTATCTTTCCCTGCTCATTTCCTTTTTCTTAGAAACAACTGAATTTGGTTTTTTACATACTTTGTTTTAAGAATTACGTGGGTTTTTTTTTTTGTTTGTTTTTGTTTTTATTCTTTAGTCTCACACATTCTTAATCTTTGCTGTAGAGAGTTTAGAGTGTTTAAGCTCTCAGCTGTAAGGGTGACATCTCTTACTCCAACTGCTTATTTTTAACTTCTGAAAATTGAAATAGAATTATAAACAACATCTAATGCTTTTTTCTTCTTAATGTCTTCAAACATTGGGAAATAATGCTGTAAACTTTTGTTCCTGCCTGCTTTTATGCTACTTTAAAAAATTATTTCTAGGTGTATGTTTGTATGCTGTGTCTGTATGCCACATGTATGTGAGTGTCTGAGGAGGCCATAAGAAGGTGATAGGCCCGTGAGTGCTGGAGTTAACAAGTGACTGCAAGGGGCTTGAACTGAACTCCGATCCTTTGGAAGAGTTGCAAGTGCTCTTACCACTGTGTCATTTTTCTAGCCTCTCATTATTCTTATTATTTATATAGCCCCCCGGCAGGATTACTCAGCACATTCAGACTCTCTGTGTGAAATTTTTGGTGTCAAATATGTTTTAAAATTAAGTGACTGGGCATTTTAGGAAGGGAATTGTTGTATATGTGCTTCAAGATTTGCTGCTGGGATGATTTTGAATAGCAAACATGTGGTAACCTTAGTACTTCTCGAGAGAAACAAAGATAGAAATGTTAGATGCATAAAAGAAAAGAGCCCTGGTATCAATACAGGCCTTGCCACCAAATGAATTCTGGGGGTAAAAATCTTGCCCTTCAGAACTTGTTTGAGAGTATGGATTGTAAAATGGGTTGATTCTTTTTTTTTTGCACTAGATTCATTTGGGTGTCTTATGAGTTCACTCAACTATACTGAGGTGAGTAAGATTTTTTTAAAATGACTTTTCTGATTTTTTCTTTTAGGTAGATGAAGTTCCTGATGGAGCTGTAAAACCACCCACAAACAAACTACCCATTTTCTTTTTTGGAACCCATGAGACGTAAGTCCTGTTTCCTTTAAGCTGAAGTGGCTGTTAATTTATGGAGAGGTTAGGTATAAAATGAAAAGCAAGTACAGATTTCAAAATTCAAGGGGAAAGTGACAATGAAGTAGAAAACTTCATTTTTTTAAAAGACAGTTTCGTGAAGCCCTGGTTGGTCTAGGGTAGTCCATTGTAGACTAGCCAGTACTCAAAGTTTGGGAATAAAATGTCACATACCTGAGCTGAAATAGAAAACTTAAAGGAAAAAAGTCATCTTTGAATTTTAAAATAAGCTTTTAAGTTTTCTTTAAAGTTTGTAAAATTTCTTGTTTCGTTCACTGCTGGGAACTTTTTTGTTTTGTTTTGTTCATAAGACAGGATATAATTATGCATCCCTGGACTAGAGCCACTCTGTGGACCTGTTTGGCACTGAGCTCGCAGAGATCTCTCTGTCTCCTATGTGCTGGGATGGAGATGTACCACCACACTTGACTGGGCACACTTTCTTGAGACAGTTTCTCTGTAGCCACCTTGGCTGTTCTGTAACTAACTCTAGACCAGGCTGGCCTCAAACTCACAGAGATCTGCCTGCCTCTGCCTCCTTAGTGCTGGGATTAAAGCTCTCTGCCCTGTTCTCCCCTTGAGCACTTTTATTTTAAGGTAGAGATTAAAGACACTACATCTTGGGGAGAAAGGGGAAGTTGGAGGCAGGGAGTTGAGGGGTGAATGTGATAAATATATGCTGTATGAAGTTTTCAGAGTTAAAAGTAAAAAAAAAAGTTTACTTAATGGAGAATAGAGGATTACATGATCAAAAAGAAGCTAGCCTCAGAGTAATCACAAGAATGATTGAAGGCTCTAGGTGGCAAGGCATTGTGTATTCATGTTAGTAAACTAAGGACTGTCTGACACTGTTTTCAGCCTGGTCCTATCAGCCGCACAGATAGTGTGAAGAGGGAAGCTAGACATGCCCCCTGTGTTTCTATGGTCACCACAGCCGGTCTGTCTCACCTGCTGTCCCAGGTAGCTGTATAGCCAGAGGACTGAGCGGTGAAGGAAATTAGTGTTGTAGAGATTCCAGCTGACAATTGAACTGCGTTGTTCCTTGTAACTACATGAAACTACTTTGGAGGCTGTCTCAATTGCCAAAGCTCAATTCTTACATAACTCTAATTGATTAGTTATGTTGGACTCAGTCTGTGGAGTAGACTTGTTTACCTGAGATGAAACAACATTGTTGATATCCCAGTTATTGCTCTCTATTTATTTTTTAAGTTTTATTTATTATGTATACAGTGTTCTGACCACATGCACACCTGCAGGCCAGAAGGCACCAGGTTTCATTATAGATGCCAGTGAGCCACCTTGTGGTTGGTGGAAATTGAACTCAGAACTTCTGGAAGAACAGCCATTGCTCTCAAACTCTGAGCCATCTCTCCAGCCCTCACTATGTACTATATATATTTTTTTAGATTTATTTATTTATTTCTCATGCCCTACGATGTTCTGTCATGTACACCTGCACGCCAGCAGAGGGCACCAGATCTCATTATAGATGGTTGTGAGCCACCATGTGGTTGCTGGGATCTCTGAAGAGCAACCACTACTCTTAACCTCTGAGTCATCTCTCCAGCTCTCACTGTGTATCCCTAAGAGTGGATATAAATGTCAACCTTTGGTTAATGCTACTTATTTAATTTAAACTTATAATTTGACAAACTTGATTTACACTTCAGAGTTCAAAGTAAATGATCCATTTTATTTTGGTATATTTCATTGTATTTTAGTGTAATTGTTTCCTTTCTCACTGAGGTCATTCCTTTCTCCCTATTCTTTCATAGCTACTACTGCACCATTTGTGTGGATTCACCACTTCTGGACATTGCCTGTTAATGGAATTGCTTGATGATACATTTTTGTTTTGTTATTTGTTGATTGAATTTTTGAGACAGAATTTCTCTGTGTAGCCTTGGCTGTCTTGGAACTGTAGACTAGGTTAGCCTCAAACTCACAGAGATTACCCTGTCTCTGACTGTGGAGTGCTGGGATTAAAAGTGTGTACCAATACCGCCTGGCCCATATTTAATTTTTTTAAGGGTTTTTTTTTTTTTTTTTTTTTTTTAAGATTAATTTCTTTATACAATGTTCAGTCAGCATGCACACCTGCAGGCCAGAGGAGGGCACCAGATTGCATTATAGATGGTTGAGTCACTATGTGGTTGCTGGGAATTGAACTCAGGAGCTCTGAAAGAGCAGTCAGTGCTCTTAACCTCTGAGCCATTTTTCCAGCCCCCGTAATTAATTTTTTAAAAACACACTTTTGGATCTAGAATTGTATTGTTCTTTACAATATTTAGTTTGAGTTGGGTTCATATATGTTTTGTATATGAAAATACAACATTTACAAAATGCTTCCAGATGGGAGGCAGAGGCAGGTGGATCTCTGAGTTCAAGGCCAGCCTGGTCTATGTAGCTAGTTCCAGCACAGCCAAGGCTACAGAAAAAAATCCCTGTTTCAAAAACAAAACAAACACACAAATAAACTGAATTTTTGATTCCAGGGTAATAGTCTACAATTTAGAGACATTCTAGTAAATTCAATAGGGAAAGGGGGCTTTATGAGAGACTTCTTAAAGTATCACAGTAGGGATTTGTATGGTGTAGTGCCAGCTCTGTAATGTCAGTATAATCTGGAATTATATATTGAAAAAAATGGTTTACAGGGCCTGTCTGGAGTGTGATACTGGGTCCCAGTGATTTTTTTAACAAGCCTGGATGATTCTGATGTGTATAAAATTTTGAGTCATCTTAATGTAAGGAGGCGGTTTTAGGATTTTTCAGTTTAAAATTCTACTCTGATTTTTAAAAGATTTTATATTTCTATATTCTATAGTTTTATATGAGATAATTTGTTAAATTAAATCTTTTCTTTGTAGTACTGGGGATCCAACCTTTGGCCTTGTTTGTATTAACCATGTACTCTCTCATTCTAAGCCACAGCCCCACAGCAGTAATTTAAGTGTAGAAGAAAAAAATCTTGCCTTCTTCAGCACTTAAAAATAGCTGTGTGCTAGAAAAGTCCTTCCTCCCCCAGACAGGGTTTCTCTGTGCAGCCTTGGCTGTCCTAGACTTGTAGACCAGGCTGGCCTCAAACTCCCAGAGATGCACGGATCTGCCTTTGGTTAAAGGCATGCACAACCACCACCCAGCTAAAATAGAACTTTTGTATTGTGAATATTTTAGTTTTTTGTTTTAAAATTAATACTGTGGCATGTGATAAAGCTCCCCTTATTTATGTCAACTAGTATTTTAGCATGTTGTATTCATCAGTCAATAGATATCTGCTGATTCCCACTGTTGGCTACTGTGAATAATGGTAGTATGAGCACTTATGTACCATAATTTTATTTTCTTTTCTGATGTTGGTATCTAGCCCAGGGCTTTGCATGTCCTAGGCAAATTCCATTATCGAACTACAATTAGCCATCGTGTATTTTGTATATAGACAGTCTGTTTTCTCCTCCAGAAACAGAGTTCCTGGTTCAAATGACAACTTAATAGCTAATCACTGGAGAAACCACCAGGCTCCTTACAGAACATTTTTATATATGTTTAAAAATATTAATATTTTTATTTTAGTTTTTTTCTTTTTCTTTTTAGAGACGTTTTATGTATGTCAGGCAGATTCAAGCTACATAGGTACATAACTGAGGATAACTTTAAACATTCTCCTGCTAGATAACAGTCTTGTTTCACTGTACATAGATTATGTGGTGCAGGATTTGTTTTGTTTTGTTTTTGTGATGTTAGATTTTAATCTGGGACTTCCTGCATTCTAGACAGGCACTATTCCAACTGAGCTGAATCCTAGCCATACATTGTCATTTTTATTATAGCTGTGCTAGTGGGTTGTAGTGATGTTTACTGCAGTTTTTATATTTTTTGTGATTGGCTAGTACCACCGAGTTTCTTTCATGTGTGAATTAAAAAAGATCTTGGTAGGGGCTGGAGAGATGGCTCAGCAATTAGGCGTACTGGCTGTTCTTCCAGAGTACCTGGGTTTAATTCCCAGCACCCACAGGGCAGCTCAGAACTGTCTGCAGCTCCAATTCAGTGGATTTGACACCCTTGCATAGACATACATGCAGGCAAAACAGTAGTGTACATAAAATAGATTTTATAAAAACTTGGACCAGACCTGGTGGGACATACCTTTAATCTAGCACTTGGGAGTTAGGGAGGTAGAGACAGGCATATCTCTGTGATTTCTATGCCAGTCTGAAATACACAGATAAGTGCCAGTGCCAGACTAGCCAGGGCTACTTAATGAGACCTTGTCTCATTTTTTTTTATTTTTTGGTGGAGCAGGGAGTTTTGGAGACATACGCCAGTGGTTATAAGCACATAGCTGCTCTTGTAGATGACCCAAGGTAGTTTCCACTACCAGTATTATATGTCTTACAACCTTATGCAACTCCAAGGGAATCTGGCACCCTCTTATGGCCTCTGAGGGTACTGTACTCGTGTGCACACCTATACCCCCTTCCATACACATAGAATTAATAAAACAAAAATCTTAAAACCCTTTGTAGAATTATAAATTACTTACGTTTATAAAGGTAGTAATTTAGTTTCCGTTACATTAAGATATATGAACTGGGAATCGGGATGTAGAACTTTTAGAAACCTCAACAAATTTAAGTTCAAACATTAAGTAGAATAAAAACTTGAAGATTTTAACTACTTCTATGTAAGTGACATGCTCTTGTAAGACCAAATATAACTTGATTGCATTCTGTAACTGGATAGAACTATATTAAAGTGAGAACAGTGCAATTTAACCTCGTAGGCAGCAGAAAATGGAACAGGCTGTCCTTGTTGGCCTTGCATTAGCATTAACAAATTTAGTCACTACAGTTTAAGTAACTCGCACACCCAACAACATGTTAAAAATTCACTTCTGCTATAGTAACTAAGATTTGCTGCTGGCTTTTTAACTTTTGAGATGTGAATTACCATCAGTTACCATTGTCACTTTGAAAGTTTTTTGGTGTGCTGGGTGTGATAGCACACAACCTTAATAGTAGCACTTGGGAGGCAGAGGCAGAAGGATCTCTGAGTTCCGGGCCAGCCTGGTCTCAGCGAATTCTAGGGCTACACAGAAAAAAAAAGAAATCATGAACCACTTACAAGTAGTTGGCCTTTGTTTCCTGATAATAAACACCAACATCACATTTCAATAAATGAGAGATTACCTAGAAGAAATGAAATTGCAGCAAAGAAATACTAACCTTCTATAGATGTGTAAACTTGGAGAGATACTAGATGGCCAGCCAGAGGAAGCTGGGCAGGCTGGTGCTCACCTTTAGTCTTTGTGCTCTGGAAGCAGAGAATATGGATTTTTATGAGTTCAAGGCCAGCCTGGTATGCATAGAGAGTTCCAGGGTAGTCAAGGCTACACAGTGAGACCCTATCTAATTAATATATATGTTTGTATATAAAATATATAACTATTATCTAGTTATAATATTCCTAAGGATAAAATGTGGAAAGCTGATTCAAACTTAGAAGTAGGACATCTGTCAAGGTAGAGCAGTGTGCTTATTGAATACAAGTTACCAGGATGGAAGTACTGAAGTTTCCATCTATTCTGTTTTGTTTTACTTTGTGTGTTGAGATTAAACCAAAGGCAAATATTCAGGCGCTGACTAAGGTTCATATCCCTAGCCTTCGTAGTATTACTAAGGTTTTATTTTTCAAGACTATTTTATGTTTATGTGTGTGTTGTCTGCATGTATATGTCCATGTATGCAGTGCCCATTGAAGCCAGAAGAGGGCATCAGATTTCATGAAGTTACAGATTATAAACACAAGTGCCACCTCTGTTTTAACTGAATTTGCTATATTTCCCTGTTTAAGATGGTGTCCAGCAAATATATCTTTTAAAGGTGTAGATGAATATAGCTCAGTTGTAGCATGTTTGCCTGCCATGTGCAAACCCTTAGGTTCTACCTCAGACACCAGTAGAACTATCTGCCTTGTCCAAAAAATAAATGATGATTTCAGTATAAGCTTTTAAGTAAACTTCTATGTAGGGACCAAGGGGTACTGTGTTATACCTTAACTTAACAGTAAAACATTATTTTGAAATTGGTGTGCGCATTCAAGGCACATGGGCACTTTGAGTGTTATTAAATTATAGAATTTAAATAATAGAGCTGACTTAAATAGTCCTGATTGTTTTAAATACAGTACTGTAATTTTAATGAAAGTTTTACATTAAAGTCTTGTGAATTACTCTACCACAGATAGATAACTTTATTACTTCTCTAGTACAGAATTTCAGCAGAGAAGTTATTTTTTCTAGATATTAACCATTTTTGAAGAAATGAGCGTCAGTTTAGTTTTCCTCTTGCTTTGGGGAAAGTACTTGGATATACCCATCATAGCAGAGCAGTCGTACACACTGTGTAACCCATCTTTACCGTGTTGACTAACCTTTTATTTAGAATCATTTTCATTTAACCTGTGTGGGTATTTGCACATAGAAGGGCTTTGGGCGCCCTGGCATTGGAGTTCAGACAGTTGTGGACTACTGAGTGATTGTTGGGAACTGAACTTAGAACTTGAGGTTCTTTGCAAGAGCAACAAGTCATCATCCCTTCAGCTCCAAACTGGCAGACTTTCTAAAGAACATGTAGGGAGCTGTAAGGGATATGTCTTGGAGAGTGGGTGTAAGTACACAGTAACAGTTGATGCTTATTATTTGTGGATTAACTTTATTTTGGTTTTCAAAACAGTGTTCTACTGTGTAGCTCTGGCTATTCTGGAACTTACTCTGTAGACCAGGCTGGCCTCAAACTAAGAGATCTGCCTGCCTCTGCCTCCCGAGTGCTGGGATTAAAGGTGTGTAGCACTATGCCTGGTGCAGGTTAATATTTTTAATTGCTAAAACTTATTGTAACCACAAACCACATAGATATGATCAAAGCAGCAAAAAAGTTACCTGTTGTAAATATTTCTAATTGAAATTGAATAAGGGAATGTTCTTTTTTTCCTCCCTCCCTCCCTCCCTTCTTCCGTCTCTCCCTCCCTCCCTCATCTTAAATTAATGTTAAGTATGGTTTGGCTATGAGTTTATTGCTAAAGAATTACCAGTATGCATTAAGTAAGCTATTTTGAAGCTGAAACACACTAGATTTTGAAAATGCTTTGATTACAGGAATTTAATTGTATGTATATCCTCAGGAGGCATTGGTTTAATATTTACTTACCTTTTCTGTCATAAGGATAAGAGCTGACTGTACATGTGCATGAATAAAAACACTGAGTAAATTCCAACACTGAGTAAAACTTTTATATCTTTTTGAAAGAGGATTTCATGTAGCCCAGGTTGGCCTCAGACTTGACTTCGTAGCAAAAGATGGTTTGACTTCTTTCTCCTCTTGCTTGCACTTCGTGAAGGCTGAGATTACAGGTGTGAACCATGATGCCTGACTGAATAAATTTCATAATACATTCCTTTTTTAAACATTTATTTAGATAACAAACTTTGTTGACCATTTTTTTGAATTATATAACATGTCAAATGATGTTGAAATGAACACATTTTTGATTTAGTTAAATGTTTAGTAGTAAACATGTTTGACTTTGTAAAAAAAATAGCCAGGTTTTTATTAACATAATTGTTTATGTTTCTGGGATATAGTATGGTTCTTGTATATATGCGTATTATGCAGAGGAGAATATATCTATATATATTATACATAATATGCAAATATTATGCATAGTAACTAGCATTAGTTACCCCATACATTTATTGTTTCTTTAGTGAGATCATTTGAAATCCCAGTAAGTTATTTTGAAATATAAGTGGTATTATTAATTACATTGAAGTAATTTATTAGTTATTATTACTGTCCTTATGTGTATGTATGATGTTTGTGTTTGAGTACAAGAACACCATCGTACCATGGCTTTTTTGTAGAGGTCAGGAGTACCTGAGGTGTTGGTCCCTTCTCTCTACTTGGTTTGAGACAGGGTCTTTCTTTTTGTTTGTTTGTTTGTTTGTTTGTTTTTATGCTGCATATGTCAGACTAGCCCTTTAACTTCTGGGGATTTTCTTGTCTTCTCCCATCTCACCATAGGGCACTTGGGTTAGAGATAGCTGCCACATCAAACTGTGTATGGGTTCTGGGGATCCAAACTCAGGTCCACTGAACCATCTCCCTAGTCTCTATTTTAGTCATTCAAAAAAATTATTTATTTTGTGTATATGAACGCTCTGTTTGCACTTACACCTGCATTCCAGAAGAGGGCATCAGATCCTGGATCACAATAGGTTGGTTGTGAGGCACCATGTGGTTCCTGGGAATTGAACTCAGTACCTCTGGAAGAACCCTCCTGCTTTTAACCACTGAGCCATCTCTCTAACCCCTCTTTTAGCCATTTTTAAGTGTATATAATTCAGTGATGTTAAAAACATTTCACTTTTTGTGCAGTTCTAAAAATAGAACTATGGATCTAGGAGATTGTTAGTGAATTTCATAGAAGTATGTCTAGGCTGGGAGTGTAACTTGGTGGTAGAGAGCTTGCCTTCTATCATCAGTAATATAAAAGAAAAAGTGTTTGGAATTAAATATAACTATTTATATTACTGTCCCAGCCCCAAACAGGGAAAATTTGTAAGTAAACAGTACCTGAAGAACGTTTCTAGGAGGCACACTTTCATCAGCTAGGCAGTACTTGTACTCTGGAGGTAAAGGCAGGTGATCTCTGAGTTTTAGGCGAGCCTGGTGTACACAACAAGTTCTAGGACAGCCAGGGCTACATAGAGAAACCCTGCCTTGAAAACAAACAAAAAAAGCACTTTTATCAGAGTCTTCTCTACCCTGATGAAATTATAATCACTAATGAGATCAGTAGGATTTAAAGTTATTTTGTAGTTTGTATGAACTAGGTGTGTTGGACCACAAGTTTAACCCTAGCACTTAGCAGGTAGAGGCAGGTAGATCTCTGAATTTGTGGCCAGCCTGGCCTGCACAGTGAGTTCCAGGGACAGCCAGGTTACCCAAAGAGATCCTGTCTTGAAAATAAAACAAAAAACACACAAAAAAATTAGGTTGTATAAAGTGTTTATTGAATAGTGTCATCTAGTAGCCTAATAATATATTTAATTAAGGTTGATTTGTACTTACATCTTTCCTTTGTGTTATAGTGCTTTTTTAGGACCAAAGGACATATTTCCTTACTCAGAAAATAAGGAAAAGTATGGCAAACCAAATAAACGAAAAGGTTTTAATGAAGGCTTGTGGGAGATAGACAACAATCCGAAAGTGAAATTTTCAAGTCAACAGGTGAGTCCCTTTATGAAATTTATTATTCATTTATTGTTAGAAAATAAATATTGTCATTGGAAAATGCATAGCTAATTGAAAAGCCTTAGGAATTTCTGGTTGTTGTGTTCTTTTTAGGTTGAGCCTTGACATTTTGTTATTAATTGAATGGCTTAAAGAGATCTTAAATTTGGTTGCTTAGCTCTTCTTGAGAGTAAAGTTTACCTAAAGAATTACCGAATTTAAAGCCATAACTACTGTCTTGTTAGATTCAGGGCTTTACTGATTTATTATAGTATGTTTGATATGGGTGGGGACATATGCCAGTGTTCGTGTGTGGAGGTCAAGTATATCTTTGTGCAGTTAGTTCTCCACTAATCTTTACATGGTTTTTGGGTCAGAAATTAGGTTTAACAGACCTGCAGGCTGTCATCATTGAACATCACACATGTTTATCTGCTGAGCCATTTCAGTGGCCTAATGGTTTTCTAACCTTAAAGCATATGCCCTTTGGTTTTTTTGTTTGATTTTTTACAGATTATTGAATGTTATTAGAATGGACCTCATGAATTAAATATATAACAGAAGTACTTATAACCCCAATAGAAACTTCACCTATTAATTCTAAGCAATTTCTTGCCCAGAGCTTTTCATTTTCCTGGCAGGGTTTCTCTGTATAGCCCTGGCTATCTCCTTCTTTAGACTAGGCTAGCCTTTAATCCCAGCATCCTAATGTTAAATGCTGGGATTAAAGGCATGTGCTACAATGCCTGGCTTGTTCCATTTTTCTTGTGCAACAGAAATTGTTTTCCTTCATTTTTGTCTGCCTTGCTACTGACAGTATTTGTTTTATGTTTATATGGGTGTGTGCATGGCCTGTGCATGTGTAGTGATCAGAGTACAACTTTGTGGCGTTGGCTCTCTATCCACTTTTACCGTTGCTGGTGGTTAGCTGTGCTCAGCAAGTGCTTTTCCCATCTTGTGATCCCAATACATGTTTTTCTAACCCGGCACAGTGGTGCACGTCACTTGGGAGGCAGAGGCCCATGGATCTCTGAATTTGAGGCCAGCTTGGTCTACAAAGTGAGTTCCAGGATAGCCAAGGCTACCCAGAGTAATCCTGTTTGGGGTGAGAGTCAGATGGTGGTAGTGAAAAGAAAATAACCAAAAAGCAAACAAATAAAAACAATTGCAATGTTTTTTCACTTGTACCGTGTTCTTTCTCGTCTTTGGCAATGTTTAGACAATTGTAATTTGTTCAGGACAATTTTGAAATCTTTCTTTGGTATACCAAGTAACCCTTAGATGGTCTTAAGTTCCTTCCCATCTAATTAGTGTGTGTGGTGGTGCTTACCATAGTTTACTGTAATTGCTTTTGTACTTGTAACTGTCACAGCTGCACCCATAGTGTGATCAACTTGCTGATTTGATGAATGATTTGATTACCAGGCCCACAAGGATTGAACAAAGCAGTGATTGACTTATTCAAATTAATTCAAAATACATCTAGCCATTGAGACTTAAAACTTTTTGTACTGTTATGAGTAATTTTAAGGAGATTTTTACATTATTTTGCTCCTTTATAAAAGAAATGCTGATAAAGTTGGAATTTTTGATTAGGTATGTTCAGCCTTTAGTAGTATTTAAGGTTGTGACCCCTCCTCCAGCCCCAATTTCTTTTGTTGATAGGCTGGCCTCACTCAGAATTCACCTACCTCACCCCTGAGTGTCACTGTGTCTTGCCAAAACTGACTAGTTTAATTTACAGTTTTAAAATTCTTTAAGGCAAGATGTTACTACATACCCCAGCTTGGCTTATACCTAGCTCTTCAGCTTAGGGTTGCCTCAGACTTGTAGCCATCCTCCTACCTAAAATGCTGGGATTATAGTAGCACTACTCTCTGCTTTAACACTTTAAATGTAGGCTGGAGAGATAGATGACTAAGAGGTTAAGAGAACTGCTTGTCCTTCCAAAGGTCCTGAGTTCAATTCTCAGCAACCACATAGTGGCTCACAGCCATCTATAATAATATCTGGTAACCTCTTCTGGTGTGCAAATACATACGCAGGCAGGGTACTCTGGAAATAATAATCTTATAAAAAAAAACCTTAAATATTCTATGTATTAAATGTTTTTGCAACAGAAATTTGGAGTATTCCCATAACTATGTATGTAGGTTTTTTATTTTTTAATGAGTAGAAAAATTTCGAGTTGGATAAACCATATTCTAAAAATTAATACTTTATTCTTTATAGACATCAACTAAACAGTCAAATGCATCATCTGATGTTGAAGTTGAAGAAAAAGAAACCAGTGTTTCTAAGGAAGATACTGATCATGAAGAAAAAGCCAGCAATGAAGTATGTTTTATATCCTTTCTGGTCTAAGAAGAAATGCTATCTGTGGATAATACTTTATAGAGCATACTGCAAGGGAGCAATAGGCCTGGCTTTAAGTACTGCCTGTGGATTTTACAGTTATTGCAAGAAAGAAATTAGAAAGCGAATTAACTGTTAAAATAGGAGGTAATCTTCAAAATATTTGAAAAGTGAATGAAAATGTTAGCTTCCTCAAATATTAAGTAGGGTTTTATAAAATAGTTCATGCATGTTTAAGATAAATAGATTTTAAAAGTTTTAATTTCCTATATGTATGCTTATATACTGCATGCATTTCTACTGCCTATAGTGAGGGTACTGGATAGAACACCTGGAACTGGAGTTAAAATGGTTGTGAGCCACCATTTGGGTACTGGGAACCAAACACGGGTTCTCTGCAAGACCAGCAATTGCTCTTAACTGCTGAGCTTTCTCTCTAGCCCTTGGGTGGATGTTTTTATTTGAAATTGTTTTATATGCAAAACAAGTATAACTATAAGATAAGTTCGCGTTTATACTCAAAAATTTTGTGTTGGCTGGAGTGCTTAAAAGGAATTAGACTAAAAAATTTTAAACCTAGGTTTATTTTTGCCTGTGTCATTATTTGAGTAGGTTGTACAATGTAGGTTGGCTTGGTCACTGTTCTGTTGCTGTGAAGAGACACCATAGCCAAGCCAACCCTGGCTGTCCTGGGACTTACTCTGTAGAACAGGCTGGCTTTGACCTGAGAGATCTGCCTATCTCTGTCTCCCACGTGCTGGGATTAAAGGCATGCACCACTGTGCCGAGCTACAACTCTTCATTTATAAAAGCATTTAATTGGGAATTTCGTGCAGTTTCAAAGGTTTAGTCCATTATCATCGTGGGGAGAGTGCTGGAGAAGTAGCTGAGAGTTCTGCGTCCAGACCTGTAGACAGCAGGGACAGACACTGGACCTGGCTTGGGCTTTTGAAATCCCAAAGCCCACTCTCAGTGACACACTTCCTCTAACAAGCTTACACCTTCTCCAGCAAAGCCACAATTTCTAGTCATTTTCAAGTAGTACCATTCCTTGATGACCAAGCATTCCCACATGTGAGCCCATGGAGGCAATTCTTACGCAAATCTCTGAAAACAGCAGGCATACCGTGGTTTTTGTTTTGAGGATACTGGTTGTTACTGTCGCTTCTCCCAGCACTTTTCAGTGAAGCGTGTTTTGTGACTTTTAAGGAAAATTTCTTTTTTGTTGTTGTTGTTGTTTTTTTTTTTTTTTTTTTTTCTTGGTTTTTGAGACAGGGTTTTTCTGTGTAATCTTGGCTGTCTCTGGACTCGCTTTGTAGACCAGGCTGGCCTCTGCCACCTGAGTACTGGGATTAAAGGCGTGCACCATCACGGACCATGAAAAGTTCTTTCTCTCTTATATAATAAATCCAATTTCATCTGTTTTTCTGCTTTTCTCTTGTCTGCTTATATTTTATGTTTTAGGATGTGACTAAAGCAATTGATATTACCACTCCAAAAGCTGCCAGGCGAGGAAGAAAGAGAAAGGTAATTTCTTAAGTGCACTGTAGAACTTTAAAAAGAAATTTTACTTAAATTGAGGAAGAATAGATAAGGAAACCTTATTTGTAAGTTAGTGAAACTTTGTCTTCTGGATAAAGTTATGGCACCCTTAGGTTAAGTTGAGAGGAAATGAAGTGAACCATTTTTCACTCCTTTCAGTCTTCTGCCTCATTTTCTCTGTAAAATCAAACTGTTGATGATTTCATACATGTGAAATTTACAGTAAATTACTCAGTGTTAGCACAGGACTGTTGTCCACTGGACTGATTCAGTGTTGTGTGAAATGAGTGTGGCAGTGACAGTATAGGCTAGGTATTTGTAGGCTGATAATTAATGTGAGTTTAAGATTTGTTCACACTTCTCTCTGACTTAGTTATTAAATCAAGTTAATTTATTTTTGTTAGTGTGAGATGGAATTTAGAACACTCTTAAGAATTGATCGCTGATTGAAATAGATGCTTAAAATGGAAGAAAATATAGGAAGACTGCAAGGTGTTTCCATGAGTGACTACATTATGCTAGCTATAGACATTGAGCATGTTGGTTTGGGCTCAGAAGAAAAAGTTAAAGTATTCCTGGGAATAGCAGTGAATATGATTATGGTACAGAAGAGGGAAAAGAGACAGCCATTGATAAAAAGGTGAGATGGTAGAGGAGGTCAAGAGAACATGTTTTACTGGGTTAAATGCAGGAGCCAGAATTGAGATGGGATACAGTGGAGATGAGGGAAGGTGCTTCTGTGGAATGGTGACTAGAAGAGCCGTGAAGAGAAGCCAGGAGTCATCTAGCTAAGAAAGAAGAAAGTTTGAACAAGGGACTTGAATTGTCACAGTACAGAGACTCCAGTAAGATGTTTGATTCAGGAGATTTTAGTTTCATTTAGGTAAGTGCTAGGGAAAGAAATGAGATGAAATAGATTAGAGAATAAATGTTTAATGGTAGTTGCCAGTATATTTTTGAAATCTCAAGAATGGGGGAATGCATCATTGCATTGGGTATTTGTATACACAAAGGGAACATTTAATGTGAGATAAAAGCAAAAAATCTTACTATTTCTTCTTTGCAAAACTAAATAAAATTGTTACAGTTAATTTTATGTAAGTAAAATGCTGTATAAGAGAAAAAGGCCAACTTTGAAGGGATTGATTTAAGAAGGAAGAAGAAATGTGTTCACTGTGGTGACTCAAGAAGGGACTTGAAAATCAAGGGAATTTTTTCCCCTTCTCTGCCATTCAGACTTTCGTTCAGTTGATAAATAGATAAAAGTTTATGTTAGCTAATCAGGGCTTGCAATAGAAGGTCAAAGGATTAACAATAAATTTGAGATTTCCAGCTTCAAATACAGAAGATGATTTCATGTTTGTACCTCTGTCCCACCCTGCTTCTTAGTGATCATCATCAGCTTAATCGTCTTTGTTCGGAAGAAACAGCTACAGCAAGGCAAGGTTGTGTAGTGGGCTTGAAAAAGGGATATGAATAGTGGTTCTGTGTTGCATGTGGAATGGCTTTAAGAAAAAGGAGACAGTTGAAAAGCAGGTTAAGAATGAGAAAGAATCTAGTCTTAGAGGTTTCAGTCAGATGAGTAAAATATATGTTAACAATGAATTTAGTTAGAATGTGAACATTAAAGGTGTTCATGATGCATTTGAAATAACTGAATTAATTAGTCCTGTCTTTGGATAAAATATTTTCATGAGTAATGGTTTTTATTTGCATGATTCTGACTAATCAGTTGTAGCCATATAACAATGGTAGGGCCAATCTTTGCTTAGCATTACAGTTGATCTTTTTCACTGCATTAATTATTGATGAATGTGTTACTGTTGGTATCTTCTCAAATGATCCATTGTACCTGTAATTGCTTTCAATTTATTTCCAAATGCAGGAAGGGTAAGTAAATAAGTACTTTTTGCCTTCAAGAGCCAGTCTGTTTAAACCTAACTTGAAAGAACCTTTAACCTCTTAGGTCATCAGCAGGAGGAGCTTAACCTTTAGCACCTGTGGAGATTTATGGACATACAAATATCTGGCTCTTTAACATGGGGTTGCAGGTGCAGATTTGACGTATGCATTATGCATGAAGTCTTAGAGATGGATATCCTTATTACACTGGGCATCATTGATTGAAGGTAGATGGAGCTGGGCCTGGTGGCAAATGCCTATACTCACATTTAGTAGTTGGCAGGAATCACTGAGGCAGGAAGATAGTTTAAAGCTGGTTTGGGCTGTCTACATAGATGCAGTACTTCTCTGTTCGTCCCCTCAAATAAAAGTAAACAGAAGCCAATGCTGTAAATATATTGAAAAATGTCTTATTAATTGAATTCCGTTCTGCATGTTTTTGCATACATTCTTGTTCTTACTCTGGTTAGTACATTAATACTGAGGTTCAAGTGGCTCCTTAATGTCCTACATGGTTCAGTTGACTTTCTCTTCAGTTTTGTTTCTTCCTTTGCAAATATAGCTATTATCACCTGTATTTCCTTGTGGATTCATATCCTAACTAATTTGTGGTTCATATCTTTATTCTCATTTAGGCCCACTTTACCTTTGTAATTTGGAAAGCTTTCTAAAAGAAAATAAAAGTAATGAGAGTATCAGATGTCAGTCTTAGTTGAAAGATAAAGCATATGTCTATTAGTAAAGTTAATCAAATAGCAATGTGAGTTGTTACAGTATAAATTATATCATACTTTGGTTCTCATTGTATCAAAAATGTTAGCCTTATTGCAAATGATTGTTTTAGTTTGGGAAATTTTTAAAATGATTGAAAAAAACATAATACTCATAATAAGTTGGTTTTTCACGAGTAATCAGAATCATAGAAATCATGCTTAATTATGTTACTATAGATTGGCACAATATTGCTAAATAATAATCAAATCTTTGTGATTTAGGCTGAAAAACAAGGAGAAACAGAAGAGGTGGGAATGGTAACTGTAGCAACAGCTTCTAACTTGAAAGCAAGTCCTAAGAGAGGACGACCTGCAGGTAGGATCATTAATACTTAATTAAATACTTGTTTGACCTGTGATTAATATTCCAGTCCATTAAAACATTGCTGGCCCAGGTGTTCTGAAAGACCATGAACAGCAGTTGATTAAAGACAGTTATGTATCATTGTAAATGTGGATAGAGATGAGGCCTGAGAAATTCATCATTAGGTAGTTTCATTGTGTGTCATTTTGTACTTACACAAACTAATGAAATCTTAGAGGATTACCACAGTATGTGCCACATGTCTTTAAGACAAATGTCAAGGAGGAATGATTTCTGCTTGTGACAACTATTAAGTTTGAAATAATTATGACTTGGCTTCTTTAATCACCAAATTAAAATCTCCCCAAATAATTGCAATTGAACCTGGTGGGCTTAAAACTACCATGAATAGTGAGTGGGCTCCCTCCCCCCACTTTAAAATTACTGCATTCTGATAGGATATTTGTTTAGTATTGATTTGACAATTTAGAAATAATCTTTTTTAAAATAATTTATTTAATTTTATTTTATGTGCGTTGGTTTGAGGGTGTCAGACCACCTTGAACTGGAGTTACAGACAGTTGGGCACTGCCATGTGAGTGCTGGGAGTTGTCCTTTGGAAAAGCAGACAGTGCTCTTAACTACTGAGCCATCTCTCTAGCCCCAGAAATAATCTTCAGTTGTTCTTCCTAATACAGAGTAGAACACTGAAAATCAACCAGAAGAGAGCATTTTCTCTTTTCCTACATCATAAGATCCTTACTGAAAAGTGTTAAGGGAAATAGTCAAATTGGGAAAGAGAAATTAAAATCTATTTACATATTTTATAGAATTATAATGGATCAAACTGGTGATGATATGAATCTTTGTAGACTCTGATATGAAATTCCAAAGATGTATGTAAATGATACATAATATACTGTGATAAATAAGGACAAACAGATTTACTGATAATCACTAAACTTTCACTTTCTTGATTCCTGGGGTCACTAGTTTTTAGGATGTGCACATAATTGTTATGAGTCCTTAAATAATACTTCTATGTATTATGTAACATTTGTATTCTACATAAGCATTGCATTTATGAGGGAAACTTTATTTTTTTCCTATATGAAAATTAGCTACTGAAGTCAAGATTCCAAAACCAAGAGGCAGACCTAAAGTGGTAAAACAGCCCTGTCCTTCAGAAAGTGACATGTGAGTTTATTTTGAATATAAAATTATTTATTGAAACCTTTGTATATTAACAGGATTTTTTGGTTTTGTTTTGTTTTATATAGTATTTGTTTCTATCACTATTGTATTTCTCAAAATTCTGAGGGAGACGATAGAAAAATTTATGTTAAAGAGAAAGATTTCTTGGGACTGAAAATTGGTTATTTTATGAAGCTTTTTCTCTTTTTTTTCTTTTTTTTTTTTTTTTTTTGGTGCATGATAACATAAACTTTGGAAATTGGCCAATGTAGATTGCTGACAAAATTTCTGGATAGATTAAATCTGAAGTTGTATCCACAGTCCTGTTCTGTATAATAGGTTCTTTAACATAGTATAAACATTAATTTTCGTATTTTAGAATGATAAGTATATAGTGGCTTATTTTCTTTTTTCTAGTCATCTTTTCCCTCTGAGAAATTCTGTTTTTGGAGAAACATGAGAAGGGATTTAATTAGGAAAAGGAGAGACATTTGTTGTGATGATTACGTTTTAAAGGAAAGACTCAAGAATAGATTTACTGATTAAATAATAGAATTGTGTGTGATTTGTACACATTAAATGTACACAAGTTCTCTTGGTGTCAGATCTGCTGAAGCTCATGGTGGTGAGCCTGAGATTGGCCTTGGGAAGCAAACTCTGGTTTTCTGAAAGAGCAACAAGCACTCTTCACCAGTGAGCCATTTTTCCACACCTGAACTGATTTCTTTGAATGATTATTGATTATTGGAATACTACTTCAAAGTTGGCGATTTTTCACCAAAGTGGAACTTTTAAAGAGCTTTATTTCTAAGCTAGCAGTGAAGGAGACACACTTGTAACAGGTTTTTCTGGGGTGTGTGTTTATGTGACCCTTTGGCATTTGGAGCCCATATGGGTAACATAGTAAAACTGTCTCTTTAGAAACAAAAAACATAGAAATACTAACAGTCAGTATGCTTGTGTTAAATAGACTAAGGCATTCGTGTTGAAATACAATACATATACATAAATTTTACTTGATTTGTTTTGCAGTCACTATTTAATAAGTCTGTGGAACTTTCATGGTTTATATGACTATTTGCTTAATAAAAATAACTGGTCTTATATTTACCA